GATCAAATCTTGCGAGGCAAGACGATACCCTTGGTAAAAGTTTTGTGGAAACATCACTGGATTGAGGAAGCCACTTGGGAACGTGAGTTGGATGTCCGTGAGAAATAACCGGACTTGTTTGTTAATGTTTAACCATGTATTGGGAATTTTGTTGTATAGCGACCCCGGTCTTTTTCCTTTAGATTATTGTATCCGGACTTAGGTTCCGTGGATCCGGTCAGTATATATTGGTTGTTGTCGTCCTTTAATCTCTTTGTATTTGAGTTATAGGATGTGTTGGGCGGGTCTGTTACAAGTCGGTTGAGTTTAGATGCCAAAACTAGTTGCCCAGATTTTGACCTGTCCGCTCGAGCGGGATGTTTGAGCATATGTTGAATATTTTGTTGTATTGATAAACTTTAAGAACATTGAATATGTCTTAAGTTGTAAAGCATTGTATATGTTTTGGTTTATGGAAGTATTTTGGATTATGCCTTGAAAATGGAAATTTATTTAGCATTGTATATGTTGAATGTACTGTAGCAATGCAAATATATCATTAACATTGAGTATGTTATGAAATGATGGAATATGGTATTGGAAATTGTTGAATTTCAAAGAAAAGCATATTTTAATGCATATTGAATTATATTGTGAATTGCCTCTTGAAAGAGATGGGATGATCGGTAATGGGTCAGGATGTTGAATGTTGAATTATAATATTGTTGAGAATTGAGTATCATAATTTTAAAACTTGTAACCAATTTCGGGGACGAAATTCTTTAAGGGGGGGAGGTTATAGCGATCCCGATTTTCTCTCCTTTGGTTGTTGTATTCCGGACTTAGGTTCCGTGGTGTTGGTTATTGTTTATATCTTGTTTCTGTCCTTAAATTCCTTGTTTTCGAATTTTGGAATGTAATGGGCAGGTTTGTTACAGGTTGGTAGTGAGTTTAAACCAATGGTTGCTGTCCAGAATTTTGGTTCTTTGCTCGAGCGATGCTTTTGTCGCTTGAGCGAGCTCTGTGTTTTAGGTCCTTTGCTCGAGCCAGGGATCCTTCGCTCGAGCGAGAGTTGGGTGATGTGTCTGGTGGCTCAAGCGAGAAGTCTTGCACTCGAGCTTGCGTCTGCGTCTCTTTTTGACTTGAAGGTTGCATTTCTTGGCTCGAGTGAGCTTTCCTTCGCTCGAGTGAGCTTTCCTTCGCTCGAGTGAGCAAGCTGTATGTTTTGGGTTTCTTCACTTGAGCGAGCTTTTCTTCGCTCGAACTTGCTTCTAGGTTGCAGACCTGAAGCTTCGAATTGTTGGCTCGAGCAAGGCTTTCTACGCTTGAGCGAGGTTTCTTTGTGTCTGGTCGCTCGAGCGACCATTCCTTTGCTCGAGTGAGCTTCGAATATATCAGTTGACAGCAGCGGGTTAAACATCATTTTTTTCATCTCTATTATCTTCAAACCCTAGATCCGGCTGCTCCCTCTCTCTCTACTTACCTTCTCTCTACAAATCCATCTAGCTCTAGTGTGTTTCTACCCTAATCTCTTTGTAAAAAGGGTGGACCTTGATGTGAGCTACTTTTTGATCCGAAAATCTTAGAGTTTGGAGCACCTCGAGTTTTCATCATCTTCTCCTTTTGGTCTCTCCACTTGAGGTAGGGATAACCTACTCTAATCTATGAGTCTGGACATAAATTTTAGTCATTTTGATTAGTTGGTGTTGTTTGGTAATTTTGGAAAAGTTAGGGTTTGATTTGTAATTTATAAAAGAGGAGTTCTTCATGTGTGAGTCAAACATGTGTTAAAGACTTGAAATTGGGAGTTGTTTATGAATTATGAGTGAAATATGAGCCTTTGGGGGCAATCTTGTGAATAAGTGAAAAAAGCCCTAATTACGTTGAATAATTAATTTGGGAAAATGTGAAATTGGGTTGAGGAAAATGAAATTGGGAAATTGGGAAATTGTGGAAGTAAATGGTGTAGTTGGATAATTAAATCACTCGCCTATGAAAATGTTGATATTTTATCTGTTGATAAATTTATTATCTGTTTAGAGATAACTGCTTTGGGCTATCGGTGGAGGATAGTCTTGATTATTGTAGATACTGCATGTTGATTAGGGAAAACTAAAACTAATCAAACGTGTTATGCCATTGAATATGACGGTTGGAATAATACAACAAATATGTGTATTAATTGATCATTGTATATGATAACTGTTTAAATACATTGTACATGTGTATTGTTTAGGAGGAGATAGAGGATGTACTCCATGGTTTGAGGGAAGATAGGGGATGGACTCTCAAACCTGTTTGGGAGGAGATAGGGGATGGACTCCATTAATACAGCAAATATGCGTATTAAATTGAAGTATTAATACAGCAAATATGTATATTAATTGAAGTGTGGAAGTGTTTTAATATGAGTTGTAGACTCATTTGAATTGTGAATAAAGAAAGTGTTTTAATATGAGATGTAGTTTCATTTAATTGTTTGGCTAGGTTCCGAGCCATGTGTTATGAATTCATTGGATAAGTAAAGGAAAGTGGATTGAAACATGGACATAATTGTCATGGAACTGTATTGTGATATAAGTTGGTTTATAAGTGCTAGCCATCTATCAAATGCTAATATTTTAGTTATTTTTCATACTTGGATTAGTATATCTCTACTGGGCATTAGCTCACCCTATATGGGACATCATTTTCAAGTTCAGGTGACATGCCACTTCCAAGGGCATAACTTGAAAGGTTTTGGGAGTTGAAGACTCTTTTGGTTGTTTTGTTATTTTGGTATTACACGTAAATTCAAGTTGAGGGTTTAATGTGTAAGAGTTAGTATCTCCATTTGTAACCAAGTGTCGGCTTGGAAAGTTGTAAGCCCATAGGGCATTTACTTTTGTTATCAACATGTAATATTTCTGTAATGAAAACTCTGATAAATAGAAATATGCTTTATTCTCTTATGACTATGTAGGTCAAGAATGTGGGTTTATATACATTATTTTGAAGGCGTTACAGTTTTGCTGTCATTTTTGGGCTGATTTGCTGTTATTTTTGGGCTGATTTATCATATGTTTAAGCTTCATTTTGAACTCAAAAAAAAAAAAAAAAAAAAAATTATGATAGGATAGATTAATAAGAAGAGATAGGTCAATCAAATTAATTCTTTCAAATAATCAAAAACATAATCAAAACCAAAACAAATTATCAAAATCAAATATGTCTAACAAAATACATAAGAATACGAAAAGTGTACTGAATTTTTGTATTTTTTGTATTTATATTTTTGGTAATTAGTAAATTTTTTAAAGATTTTTTTTACAAATATTATACTTTTTAAGTATATTTATGTTAGGTGTATCTAAAAATTTTAAAAAAATTGCTTAGAATATTAAAAAAAAAATGAAAAATAAAAAATTTCAATTTTCTAAAAAGTGAATCCTGAAAATTCAAACCAAACAAACTAAATTTGTTGTTAGAGTATTAAATAATTTCTCTATAAGTGTTTGTCAATTTTAGTACTTCTTTTAAAGTCTTAAGATTGATATTTAAACTCATTAAATTGGATCAGAATTATTTTTTAAAGTTTTTCGTAGATGGGTCGGATTTGGAAATGTTTCTTCCTGCTCGCCCTAGCATGATTATTAATATATATTATGTACATGTAAAATTTTACTATAAATACTTCTTATTGTATGTATTCTTAACTTATATTATACTTTTAAGTTATACAAATTTTTTTTTTCAGTTATAATTAATTTTTTTTTGTAGTTGCGATCTTATTTTAGTTATGACTCATAATATCTCATGTATTATTTGGTTGACTTTTTTTTTTGTTTTTTTGTTTTGACTTTAAAGTATGAAATTATGTCATTTTTTTTTTAGTTATAAGGTGCATACGATACATACCCTTTAAATTTTTCTTGTATATACATATGTACATATTAATATCTGTATATATATAATTTACAAAATTTTACTTAGAATAAAAAGATATACTTAAAATGAAAAATGTATTTATTTAAGTTAATATTTAAGATGTAATGACTAAATATTAAGGTGTAATTTTAATTAGCTCGATTTTGATTTTAAATTTTTAACTTTGTCTCAATTTGGTCAAATGGATTACAACTCTTAATATTTTTTAATAAAAAAATATGTATATAAGTGTCATGTGTCTCAAAATTATGAATTTATCTAGCTCAGTAAGTGAACCTCAACTAATTTAGTGATAATTTTTCTTAAAAAACACTAATGATATTATTAATTTGATCAAATTGACGTAAAATCTAAAATTAAGGATCAAAATCAAATCAATTAAAAATGTAAAAACTAAAATAAAACAAAAGATAAAATATAAGGACATCCGTGTAATTCACCCACAAAATTATCATTTTTCAGTTTTATAATATTTTAAATTGTTTATATGAGTTTGTTGGGCAAGTTCGAGATTGTACTAGCAAGATTTTAACGCTAGCTTGGGAGGGATTTTGTGTTTGTTTGATTTGTATCTCATGATATAATTTTTAATTTTTATTTTTTTAAATTTTGTTTGGTTTAAATATTTTGAATTTTTTTTTTCAAAATCACTTTTTTTTCTGTATATATCAATCAGTCACTTTTTCTTTCTTATCTTTTCCTCTCAATCATTTTTTTTTCTCACACACATCTACTCAAACTACAATAAAATATCAAATCATCCCAAAATCTCAAATTATTTTCAAAATATACAACCAAACAAACTAAAAAAATTTCTAAACTATCTCTCAAAAAAAAAAAATTAAAAATTTATCTCAAAACAAAAACCAAACACACCCTTTTAGTTTCAAAAACTGAAAAAAATATTTGGTTTTATTGGACGTCACGTGGCGTACTACTTACAAATAATAATATGTCATGTTTCTATTATTTTTTAATCACTTAGTATAAAATTATAAATCTCATTTTTTTTTATTAATTAAAATACTTGTGTATCACGTGCAAAATCAACCAATAATTTCTCAAAAAAAAAATCCTAACTTTGGCGTACCCGAGCACCCAGACTATAGATAGGCCTTCAGGCCATTATTCACATCACTGCTGTGGTAGCTGGCCTCTTTGCTATAAAAATTAGTGCTTTTCTGGTTATTCATATTCATATCACTGCTGTGGCAGCTGGCCTCTTTGCTATAAAAATTACTTTTCTGACGAGGCATGGCGCTAGCTACTACGGGGAAGGTGAACGAAGTGTTGTTCATGAACAGAGGAGAAGGAGAAAGTAGTTATGCACAAAACTCTTCTTTCACGGTAAGATAATGTTTGTATCTTTGTATAGTAGCATTACTCTTCATGTTCATGGTATATCCAATAAAAAATGTTTGGAGCACTAAAGGAGCTCTAGAGAATGGGTCTCATTGACTGTGATGTTTTGACTTTAAGTTTTTTTTTTTTTTTTTTTTTGAATTTTCACCTCATTAGTAGTCTATTAGTACTCTCAAATTAATGAGATGTATCATTGTTGATATCCAATTCTCACTTCTGTGAAAATTTCTGCTAACTCAACAATTGTTATACCTTGCACTTTGTATGAAGTTATAGATTTTGTTAATCAAATAACAGTTTTGAAGTTTTATTGGATTGTTAGGTCCTTTTTTTTTTTTTTCCACTCACTAAAATAATTGTGGATCAAACTTTATTCCTTTAGGCCGTGTTTGTTTGGGTGGGTATGTGTTTGGGATTGGACTAATAGTCTAATAAAATTATTAATCTGATGTTTGGTTAAAAAATTGAAGTATGGACTAATAATCCATCCAGATAGTATCCCATATATGATGGACTATTTAATCCTATAGAGGGAGTAGGATATAAATTGGAGAATTAAGCAAAAGTCTGGACTAACTCATCAAATGACAAAATTAACCATGACTATATATATATTAACCCTCATTTAAATATTTTAAAAATATTTGAAATATTTAAAAAAAAAATCCATAATTTTTTTTTTAATTTGTAAATATTTTAAAAAATTAAGAAAATTTTAAATATTTAAAAAAAAAAAACCAAAACAATTTCAAAATGCAACTAAGAACATGATATTGACATATTCTTGGCTAGAGATGATCTAAGAACAATCAGTGTGTTTGGTTTGAATTTTTTGAATTAAGTTTTTTGAAAACTGAGTTTTTTGGTTTTCGTATTTTTTTTGTTTTTAGTGGGTATTTTTAAAATTTTAAACATTTTTTTTTACTTTTTTAGATGCACCTTACTTAGATGTATCTAAAAAGTATAAAATTTGTGAAAAAATATTTTTAAAAATTAATAAATACATAAAAATACAAAATATGTACTGAATTCTTGTATTTTTGGTATTTAGTGAATTTTTAAAAGGTTTTTTTTTAATTTTTCTTTACTTTTTAGGTATATTTATGTTAGTTATGTCTAAAAATTAAAAAAATTGCTCAAAATATTAAAAAAATTCAGTAAAAGCAAAAAAAATAAGGAAAATAAAAAAGTAAAATTTTCTGAAAAATGTTTTTAAAAAATGGTAACCAAGCATAGTGAATAATATTATTGTTTTTAACAATTATGAATGGAAGTAATCATTAATTACCACCCTAGACTTTTAATTCAACATGTCTACAATTGGTATTTTGTATGCATCTTCTCATAAATATATTTGCTTCATTTTCTATATTTCTGAGATCATTAGTTTTCTAAATAGCTATATTTCATAGTTGAATGATTTTTGATATTTTTTGTTCCAAAAAAAAAAAAAAAAGTTAATTTTTTGTTTAAATGAATGTCTTTTTGAATTTTGGGCAATGAATGGTTGGATGATTAAAATAGTAGTGCATATTTTTTAATGGTTGCTTGTGTATATAAATTTTATAGTGAATTGATTTTTGATGTTTGATGTTTTCTGTTTAAAAAAATGGGGTTAAATGAATACTTTTTTGAATTTTAGCAATGAATGATTAAAATAGTAGTTCATATTTTTTAATGATTGCGTGTGTATATATAAATTTTATAGTTGAATGATTTTTTATTTTTTCTATTAAAAAAAAGTGAGGGTTAAATTTTGTTCCAATAAATACTTTTTTGAATTTTGGCAATGAATGGTTAGATGATTAAAATAGCAGTGTATTTTTTTTAATGGTTGCTTATATATATATATATATATAAATTTTATAGTTGAATGATTTTTTATTTTTTCTATTAAAAAAAAGTGAGGGTTAAATTTTGTTCCAATAAATACTTTTTTGAATTTTGGCAATGAATGGTTAGATGAATATGATACACAATCCAAAGGAATTCGTAATTCTAAGACTATTAGTCATGAAAATACCAATCCAACCTAATTTAATCCGCCAAAGCAAACATGCCTTTAATTTTAGCTACAATAGAAACTGTAGCCATGTTACTAATAGTACAACTTGATAAGTCACCGACAATAAAAATAAGTCGTTGATAGTTAAAAATTGTAATCATTTAAATTATATTCATATCATTAAGACGTAATGATGTAGCAAATCATTGATATGAATTGATTCATGTCACTCTATAATGTTTTTGTCTGTGATTTTACGTCTATTTTTAATGAATTTAATAAATGAAAAAATAGATATTACAATGGATCATATGCGACATTGATAGAACTCCCGATTAGAGAATTACAAGCAAATTCTAAAACTCATATGTACTTAAAAGACTAAAAATAGATCGTCTGGAGTGAAATTGAAAAACAACACTCCAAGACCTGTATTATAATTTTACAATTCAATTACTCGGCTAATTTGTCACAATGTGCATATTACAATCACATGTTAAATCGCATCTTAAAAACATAATTTTAATAAGACATTGCAAGATTGAAATCGTATCTTCAACATGTCACGTTGGCACCCTATGCAATGTTAGTGGATGCTTAGGGTGGTCATATCACAATGAAATCATATCTTTAACTTGCGAGTTTATATTGAAATTGCATTTTGAAATAGGATTTCAAAAAAATGCACTAACTTGCTAAATAGTTAGAAAAGTGTAGCACTTTTTATAAATAATTTTGTTTTTTTCCAATATTTATAAATTAAGAGAAAAAAAAAAATGCTAATCTTTAGTTTGATAAGTAACAACTCTATCATTCACACCATAAAAAGTACTTAAATAATGAAATGTGTGAACCAAATTTATTTTAAAATTAACATACATCATACAAGTTTAAATTTACAATACAATTTAATACTTTTAGGCCATGTTTGATTCACAAGACTAATAGTGAAGGTACTAATAATCTCAAATTAGTATGGTATTTACTATCCATTTGGATTAGTAGGATAAATTATTCCATTGCCCATTGTTTGATTTGCATTAGATAAGAAAGCATATGAATGTACAATTACAACTATATTTATCTTCTTTTCCAATCTTACAATCCATCAATGTTTCTTTACAATCTTTACTTTATCAAATTTCTTCATAAACGTGGTTTTGAAAAAAAAATATAAATAAATAAATAAAAGCAAAATAAAAATACAAAATACAAAATACAAAGGCCATGTTTGGTTTGCTTTTTATTTTTATTTTTTCAAATATGAACTAATTTGATAAAATAAATATCAAAAAATATTTTAAAAAAAAAATTATTTTTAGCCTTCTAAAATATAAAATTATATAAGAATAATAAGTTTTTTTAATTTTTAGTCAAGGGTAAAAGAGTCTTTTTATTTTATTTCCCAACTCAGGATATATAATCCTACCCCTACCCCAATACTAATAATCCTACAAATTTGTTAGATTAATTATCCATTGGATTAATAATCCTGAAACAAAATTTTAAAATAAACACATGATTATTGGGCTTATAGATTAATAATCATAATCTCAATCTCATACTCTAATCCTGTCAATCAAATATACCGTTAGTGATATGTGCTCAGATTCATATAACTTTTTTCGAAACAAACTCAAAAGTTGTTCTCTCTTGTAGCAACAAGTGGCCTCAATGGCACAGCCAGCGCTAGAAAATGCAGTTGAAACTCTCTTCTCCAAAGATTTCCACCTTCAAGCTCTTAACGCAGCGGACTTGGGTTGTGCAGCGGGTCCAAACACATTCGCAGTGATTTCTACGATCAAGAGAATGATGGAAAAGAAATGCAGGGAATTGAATTGCCAAACACTGGAACTTCAGGTTTACTTGAATGATCTTTTTGGAAATGATTTCAATACCCTCTTCAAAGGCCTGTCGTCTGAGGTTATTGGTAACAAATGTGAGGAAGTTTCGTGTTATGTGATGGGAGTACCGGGGTCTTTCCATGGCCGGCTTTTTCCTCGTAACAGCTTACATTTAGTTCATTCCTCTTACAGTGTTCATTGGCTTACTCAGGTTTGTACATCCATTTGTTTCAACTAGTAATTAACCTTGTACTTATCACATTATCCTATGTTAATTCCTATCACAATATGAGCAGAGGAGTTAGATGATGGTCACATACTGTGATGGACACATGAATAATTTTCATTGACCATGCCATGCCACTAGAGAAAGATCAATATTTACTCTAACTATATGACCGGTACTATATGTATTTATTTGTATTTGTTGTATGGATACATATACAAGTTTTTAAAAAATTGTAAAATTATTCAAAATATGTAGACCCAAAAAATGGGCAATATAAACACGTGTAAAAAGGTCTTTCTCCATGTCTTTCCTAGTGTTTACCAAAAATTTCATAAAGTCTGGAATTTTCATATGATGGGCTTGGTGCATGTGCAACTTAATTAGGATGTGCTTCTTAAGCAGTGAATGATGGTTCGATCCTACTCTCTTTTTGTTAATGTAATATCATTGTACTGCTTGTATAAGTTGTATTACTTATTTCATATGACCCATTTGCTTTTGATGTGTAATAAGCTTGCACGCTAACCATTTCAATGGTTTCTTTGGTGAAATAAAAGGCACCAAAAGGACTCACAAGCAGAGAAGGCTTGGCATTAAACAAGGGGAAGATTTACATATCAAAGACAAGCCCTCCTGTTGTAAGAGAAGCCTACTTATCTCAATTTCATGAAGATTTCACAATGTTTCTCAATGCTAGATCCCAAGAGGTGGTTCCAAATGGTTGTATGGTGTTGATACTTCGTGGTAGGCAATGTTCTGATCCTTCAGACATGCAGAGCTGCTTTACTTGGGAACTATTAGCTATGGCCATTGCTGAATTGGTTTCACAGGTAGTTGCAATTTTTAACACTTCTTTACCATTAAATGTCTTCGTTTGATGTTCACAAGCTCTTACATACCTCTAGAACACAATTTTTCTAGGCCTAAAAATGGTAAAACATGCAAACTATAAACCGAAAATTCCCTTAGGTGCCGTCCACAAAGGTCTGATTTCACTTGTTATATATATTCTTTTGCAAAATCTCTCATTTCTTAAAATTGGTTTCAATCATTTGTCATTACTCTCAAAATTAGTTACATACATATATAAACTATTCTTTAAATGAGTTAAAATGAAATAGTTATTAGCCTAGCCAAACCAAACCAAACCAAACCAAGCGTTAAGTCTCATCAAATGGGATCAGCTACATGAAATAGTTATTAGCATTTTACAAAAATGAGTATTCTTCATTGCTCTCAAAAAGCATTTCATACATATAAACTACGCTTTAATCAGAGTTAAAATGAAATTATTGTGAACATGTTATCACATTGATTCATATTTTACTCTCTGAAGGTAAAATATTCATAACTCAAAAACGTACTAAGAGTTTGGTGCTCAAACCAGTTAGATTCTTAAAGCTTTCCAACTATTTCGGATCATGAAAAACAGAGTTCAATGTGTCCAAAATTAATAATTTTTTGTTTAATTTTTCTCCCCAACATTTTAAAAATATAAGTCATCTTGATGAGTTCTTTCCTTTAAAATGATAAAATCAATACTTATCCCATCATTTGTGTATATATATATATTTGGCATAGCACTACCCTAAAATTATGTGCTTTATTTATTCTAATCCATTGATTTTCTGTCTTTCCTTCGTGATAATAGGGATTGATAGATGAAGATAAATTAGACACCTTCAATATACCCAGCTATTTTGCATCACTTGAGGAAGTGAAAGATATAGTGGAGAGGGACGGATCATTCACAATTGATCATATAGAGGGGTTTGATCTTGATAGCCTAGAAATGCAGGAGAATGATAAATGGGTTAGAGGGGAAAAGTTTACCAAGGTTGTCAGGGCCTTCACAGAGCCTATAATTTCAAACCAGTTTGGACATGAAATCATGGACAAACTATATGACAAATTCACTCACATTGTAGTTTCAGATTTGGAAGCAAAGCTACCGAAGACCACAAGTATCATCCTAGTGCTTTCCAAGATTGATGGATAGCTTTTTAGTGTTGTGAAATAAACTGTTGTCCCTATCACATATATGCTACTAGAGGGTTGTGCCAATGTATTGCACAAGAAGATTTGAGAGGGGTCAAATATAGAAAGCATTTTGCTCTTGTGTGGAGAGAGAATGTTTTCTTGATTTAAATCTGTGATACCCAAATCGTAATGTTGGGAAGAAATGAGAAGTTGAACATGAAATTTTAATTTCTTTACCTTATGTATGTATGGAATTAGTGGTTGTTTGCTAAAAATAACGTCTCCTCCAATTATTGTAATGTATTGGGATGGTTCTTGCAAAGAATTTTTTGCCCTTTTTAAATCTCAAATTGAAATATTTTATCAATAGTATCAAAATCATATATAATAGCATTTCATTAATTAATTCATGACAGTGCATGTTAAGTGTATTTGTCTATGAGTCTTTTGAAAGAGGAAAAAAAAGAAAAAAAGAAAGAAACTCATATTCAGATGTAGAGGAAACCACGTGATAAGGATTTCAAAGGTTAGAATTGATATATTTTTAAATGTTGATGGTTTAATTTGAAATAATTATGAGTTTCTTTGTTTCAGTGTCTCTTATGCTTTGCTACCTATTTGGGAGCCTCTCCAATGTGGTATGCTTTGCTACCTATTTTGGAACCTTTCCAATGTGGTAGTGTTGTTGGTTGTTCCTTCTTGTTGTTCTGGATTGTATTGATGTATTATTTTTTATATAATATTCCACTGTTCACTAATACAATCGGTTGCCCTTTTTTTTTTTTGCTGATGAAAACAATTTCAAACAATCAAAAAGTTAGTATTTTCTTTGTTACAGAAGTCAAACTTTAGGTGTGTTTTTTTTCTTAATAATAATAATCTTAGCAAAAGATTAATAAAAATGAAATCCTGAATTAGAAGAGGTTTTGTGTGATATTTTTCAAATTCAGAAAATTTAATCACAACAAGCTAGCAATTATATTTTTGAGTAATGCCAAGATATAACTAAATTTTTATATCAAATTTTCTTAGAAAATTATGTGTCATTATTGTTTTTAATGTAATAGACCTCACCTCCACATTCATTCATAGATTATTTTCATGGCCAGACATCATTCAAAGTTCAAATTCCAAATCTTGAATACAACAAGCACAATCTCATTTATTGGAACAAACATGAAATGGCCTATCTAGCAACAACAATTGCAAAAAGAGACAAAACACACATGTATGTGGGACCCACCCCTTGTAAGAGGATTGTATCCCATTCTGTGTTTAATTTTTGTATTATTAACATTACTGTTTTGATCAGTATGGGTGCCAGTGGGTGCTAGCCCAAGTAGGAAGAAATCCTGTAAACCAATTGTTGATAAGGTCAAGCCTAAAGCCCGCTGGATGGAAAAGAAGGCTTTTATCATTTGCTGGTAGGTTGACTTTGCTCAAGGCTACGTTATCCAATTTGCCAGTGTACTATCTCTGTTTATTTAAAATGCCAGCAGGAATAGCAAAGGAGATTGAAAGAATTCAGGCTGCTTTTCTATAGGGAGGACCAGATTTGAAGAGGAAATTACACTTGGTGAAGTGGAAGGAGGTTACTAAAAGCAAGATGCAAGGAGGGCTGGGGATTCGAAGAATTAGAGATTTTAATGATTGTCTTTCGATAAAGTGGTGGTGGAGGTTGGCTAATGAAGATGAGGCTTTATAGAAGAAGGTGGTCTGTAGTAAATACAATGTAAATGGGGGAGTATGGTTTCCAACTTTGAACCAAGGTAAGAGGGCATCAAAGTTGTAGAGTGATATTTTAGCTATTGCAGAGCACAAGCCTATGATGTTCAATTTTTTCACAATCAATGTTTAGATTAGTGTGGGTAATGGAAATAGAGTGAGGTTTTGGCAGGATAAATAGTGTGGTGATGGTTGTTTCAAAGAGAAATTTCCCAGGTTGTTTAGGTTATCCACTGATAGAGGAGGTTCTTTAAGGTCTTTTGTTGAAAAGCAAGATAGTACTGGTGGTTGGGAAATTAGCTTCATGAGGAATTTATTTGTTTGGGAGAAAGAGGAACTAAACAAGCTCAGAGAGGAGTTATGTCTGGCTCCATCACTAAATAGGAATGAAGAGGATAAACCAGTTTTGTTAGCAGCACTATTAGGTCAGCATATTGTTTCCACCCTCTATAAGTATATAGATTTGGAGACTGGTGAGCAGTCTACTGTTAGTAAACTGGTATGGGTGAATTATCTCCCACCCAAAGTGAAATTCTTTGGGTGGCTTGCATGGAAACACAAGGTGAAACCATTTGATTTTCTGCAGAGGATAGGAATTTTGGATGGAAGTGTGTCTTATCAGTGTGTGTTCTGCAATAACACGCTAGAAACAGTTCAACATGTGCTAATCTTATGCCCTTTGGTTTGGAGGGTGTGGACTGATTTGCTATTGTGGTGAGGAATTCAATGGATGGTTCCTGAATCAGTGGAAAGGTGGGTGGGTACAATGATGGGATGGTAACAGAGTCAAAAAAATCTGAGAGGAGAATCTGGATGGCTTAACCTCTGGTTGCCTTGTGGTCTTTATGGAAGTATAGAAATGATTGCTTGTTCAACGGTATACAACCAATGATGGGGGAGCTGAAGGAGGAAATCATCATCAAATTAACTATTTGGTTGAAGGCTTACTTCAAAGAGTACCAGTATTCTATTTTTGACTTTTTATTTAATTTTTCTCATATTAGAAAATGTTTAAGGGGCTGAAAGCTTATAGATTTTTTTTGTAAGCTTGGGTGTTTTTGCCGTTTCTGTTGTTCTATTGGAATCTTTCCAACTCAGTTTCGGGGGTTTGGGTTGGTATTGGTGAAGATGGGCTACTAATGCTGTACTTGTTAATGATGCTGGTTCTACTTGGTGAAAAGGAGTATCTACTCTATGGTGGTTGATCTGTTTGGGCAGTGATCCCTTTCAATTGGCTGTTGTTGCTGATGTTCCTGCTTTGACATCCATTTTCTGCTGATATGGGTTGCTGCTAGTTTTGTGTGGGTAATGATCTTTTAATTGGGCTACTGCAGCTGATATTTTGTTGTTGTCCTGTTTTATTATTGTGTCTGCTGCAGCTGTTATTTTGTTGTTGTCCTGTTTTGTTGTGTTTGGTAGTTTTGGGTTATTTGGTATGTATTAGTTTTGGTTAGCTTTTACTTGGTTGATGTTGATTTGGGTGTTTGTGGTTGGTTCCTCACCTACTCTTGATGGTATGCTAGCATAAGATTGGGTGGTCTTATTGGTGCCAACCTAGTTGGGATTGATTTGGCTTGCTATGATGTTTTTGCACTCATCATCTTTTTTCCTTTATTGTTGTAATAGTTTTCTGCTTCATTAATAAAGTTTATTTTCTTTACTGATCAAAAAACATTATTGTTTTGATTATTTATTTAGTTATTAATTATTTCTTTTTATAATGAAACCTACACATGGTTGTAATCCTACCTACACATTATTGTCATTTTTTTTGTTTAATCTATTTGGATAAAAATTAAATTAAAACTTTTTTTTTTGACTTTGTTTTGAACAAATTCTTACAAAATTGCATTGTGGGAAAGAAAACTATAATGATTTTGCATCTAAAATAGCTCTAAAACATTAATATAAATTTCTTAATTTTTGTTAATTTTAAATTTTTGTAAATACACATGTTAAAAATTTAAAATCCTGAAAATAAAAAGTCAAAAAAAATAATAATTAGGCTTTTCTAACTCATTTCTAATTTGAAAGTAAAAAACTTTTAAAAGGAAATTTCAATGTAACTTTAGTCTCATATAATTTCACATTTTAAAAACATTTACTTCTAAATTTTTTGTTATATTTAAAAAGAAAAAATACATGTGGCGCCTAAAAATTTAAAAACTTATTAGGCATCAATATATTACGACACATTTATTAATAAAAAAGAATGTGTGTGTGTGTTTAATGCATATTTTTACGTTGGGAAACACTATAGTGCACACATTCAAATGGTGTGCTTTATGTGCACCTTACAACTAAAAAAAAGAATGGCATAATTTCAATTTTCTGAGTCATAACTTAAATATATTTATATATATATATATATATCATATCTAAACCCAACATGAGTCATAACTAAAGAATTCATGAGCAATAATTAAAAAAGAAAATTGGTCATAACAAAAGAAGAAAATTATATAACTAGGGGTGCATATGGTACACCCATTTTAAATGAGTGTATATTAAAATTTCCTTTTTACGTTACATCAAAAATTACATGTGTCAATTCAGTGTTTAAAAATACATTAAATAATTTTTGAGATATAAATATACTTTAATAATGATATAATAGATAATAGAAATATTTATAAAAAAAATTATAACTTAATTAAAATTTAAAAGTTTTAATAAATATACCAAAATAATATTTGCATACATATTTTCTATTTATGTTATAAAAAATATTAAATATATATTTTCTATTTAAAATTTCCCTTTTACATTACATCAAAAATTACATGGGTCAATTCAGTGTTTAAAAATACATTAAATAATTGTTGAGATATAAATATACTTTAATAATGATATAATAGATATTAGATATATTTTAAAGCTAAATATATGTCACGCCCCACTTTTTATGCCAACGGCTACCATTACCAAATCCTTTATTATAATACAATTTCAGAGATCATGTGCGGGAATTCAATACAATAGCGAGTACTATTATTAAAGGTTCTCTCATTTGAATATGAAATGAATGCAACATGAGATAAAAATAAGTAAACTGCCCGTAGACTTACATCTTTTAAATTAAAAGAAATGGTTTAACCCTTTTACATCAATGGCATTTCGCCTACAAATAAAAGGCCCCGTGGCCAACACATAAAAAAGATCCTCTATCTTGAACCATTCTCAATGTTCACCTGAAAAAGGATTAACAACGTGAGATGAACATAAAGTCCAGTAGAGATCCCAATATGATCCTAAACAATAACAACATACAGATAACTATGATCATGAATGCTTTAAATCATATCATATACATATTGTGACGGTTTATATAGAAATATACTTATATAAGAACTTTTCTCAAAACCATTCATTTCGCTCAACAACATAAACAATTTACTTTTCTTTCTTCTTATTACCTTTTCCCCAAAATTCATATGACAATAACAAGTTCCTGAAAACAATTTCACAAAGCCCAATACGTTTTACCTTCTTGAAACATGTTCACAAGTATCCGATGTCCTTCACATTATTCACAATCTTGACACAATACTTAAGTCAGTTCCCAACACATTCATGTCTTTACATATATACATTCAG